GGCTTATTTGCCACTGTCAGTTTTGAACTGTTGACTAGAAGAAAGTGTAAATTTACTAATTTTTTGCATTTTGTTTGGATCCCCCATCTATTTTTTTCAGAAGTTAATAACTGCATTCTTTAATTTATGGTAGATGTGGATCTAGGGAAGCAGATCCCCCTCCTTGTTTCTCAGAAACTCACCTCCCTCCATCCATTTTTCACAAATTAATAACTTATTTAATGTTGCATAAGCAGACACAGATCTAAGAGGATGGGAGTCTTAGAGGGTGCACACCCCTCCATTGTTTTCAGTAATTAATATCTATTCTTTAATGTTTTATAAGCAAGTGTAAATCTAGGGGGGGTTCGACACCCTCTCATTATTATTATTTCGGAGATTAATAGAAAAACAGTTAGATATAGTATCAAAAAAAAGAAACTAGGTGTCAATGATTTTATTTTATTGGCAATCTGAAATCAACACAGGTAGGGTTGACAGCAATCCAATTATTGCTTCAGCTAATAACTGATTATTTTTGAGCTAATGCAACAATATGAATGTTAATTGAACATTGCTATGGTAAATGTTCATGCCTTGTCTTTTTTCAGATACAGTAACAATGTTTGTAGACAAGAGATTTATTTTAATCGAAGTTAGTGTTGTTGATGACACCTGCAGCTCTTATAACATAGAAAGAAATATTGAAAAAATTACAACACACATCTAAAATAAGAACTTCTTTTATTTGCTATGTCTTGTGTGTATTCTCTTCATCAGGTTTAGCTACTAAAAATACATATTATATAGAATGTTTAGAATTGATAACTAAGTACACGTAATTAGAAACTGAGTTTATGAGAAGAATGCAATGTGAGTCACCTGTACAGAATGAAGTATGTGAAGTAAAATGTTGTGTTTTCTGGCTTTGTCATACAGCAATTAAATATATGCGATAACTAAAAGGACCTAGCAGAACTGGCACAAGAAAAATTCAGAACAAAACTATACATCTTTTATTCCATGTAGTGTCAGAGAATCTTAATTTAAATAAGTTTTTGTTCTAAACTTTTATGATAGATTTGTTGTGGGCACCATTAGTAAAAAAAAAAGTAAGCTTGTGTCATCACATCCTTGTGGTCTGGGAAGTTGATGTTTGGGGACTTGGTGGTCAAGGGTTCCCTATCTCTTATAACTTAATGTTTGTTACAGAATCAGTTTTTCATTGTTTAGAAGTTGGGACTGTTCTGAGAGAGATGTTTCTCTTGTTATTACTATCTAAAGTGAAAATACACATGGTATGATTGTATAAGTAACTACTTTAAAAAAATAAGTTGGAAAAAGGCATCGTGTTTAACAATGCTATAATTTTTTGTAAGTATGATTATAGATAATTATAACTATTTAATTTTACTTAAAAAATTCAAATGTTTATTTTTAACTGTTTTTATTTTCATATCAATCACGTTACTAGATATAACGATATATATGCTTTAAAATTTCTGGATTATAACCTGACTGAGCTAATCATTTACAGAATACACTAACTTATTTTAACTTTGTGTAATTTATTTAGGTTAGTTTATGACTATATAGTTGACATGGGTTAATTCAAAATAATGATTATTTTTGGTAAAAATCTATTACCCATTTTTGGATTTTCAAGCATTTCCCTTTTTGTACAGACTTTGAAAACTTGTTATAGTTTAACATCAAACACTTGATCATTTGCTAATGAAACTCAGCTTTGAAAAAAAAAATGTCTTGAATCATTCAAATAAAATTTCAGCTTCATTATCCTGTTCACAAACCTCTGGTAATCAACCTGGCTGATGACTCAGAAAGTGACAATTCAGATGTTGACTCTGGCTGCAAGACATATAAAGTGCCTACAACAAAATCAGAGATACCTGCTGGTTTGGATGAGTTTTTGAAAATGGCAAGAATGAAGTCTAATGTAATTATTACAATTTTTTTCTGTTAGCGTGAAGTAACTTTATTAGAATTTAATTGTGTCATGTATCTTGATTTATATGCAATGAAATGTTATTCCATATAATCCTTTTAATCTTTATCAAAATAGTTTTAAAAACTGTGTGTGACAAACAATACAATAATTTATTATAAATTTATTAAATGTATTTGTTGCTGATATGTTTTATGTATGTTAATATATTTGAAAAACAGTCTCTAGTAGACATTTTATAAATATTGCATGGTAAAATAAGGCTTCAGTAATTTTCTAAGGCTCTCTATTAATGATTTGTAAAGTTTGTATTTTCAATGTTGTATTACTCAACACGCGACTTAAAAGCACTTCTTACATTTGTATATCAATAATAAAAGCATAATTAGCAGTTATTTTCTTTGTTATAACTTTCTGTTGTTACTAAGTATTAGGTTAGTGCTATGTTATCTTTAGATTGCAGAATTGTTAAAGACAAAAGATGTGAATCTACAATAGCTCTTTACAATTTCAGGTTGTATGATTTATCTCTTTTGCTACTGCCTTGGTTGATTACACTGATCATGTGATCACCCCCCCCCCCAAGTGACCATCAGTTTCTATACTATAAATTTTAACATAATTTCTTTGTCTTTGCTAAATTTTTCAACCTTTCAATAAACAAAATATAGACAACAAAGATCAGAATTTGTAGTAAGTGTTTTTAATTAAAAACTTCTCTGTGAATATCTGAAATCAGTGTTGACTGCTCAAAGTGACATTCATTATCATATTCCATTTGCATAATCTCTAAAACCTCCTAAATAAATATCAAAAGTTTTTTTTTGTTTGTTTTTCAGAAGAACTTAATATTTTATCTGATATTTTCTCTACCCTAACTCTATACGGGGTTGTTCAATTTGACCAACCTAGTAATCACCATAAAACTAAAGGTGGGAAGGAACAGTCTTAGTACAGGCTGCAGCTCTACCCTTTCCCATATTCCTCTTAGCCCTGCCTCTTCTCTATGATATGGTGGTGGTGTTTGTTGTGATGTACCCGGCCTGGGTGATTCAGGAACATTCTCATCTGATGAAAGTTTTTCATCAGCTACATCCTGATCTGTCAACCACAAATTCAAGAAGAGGTGGTTCAAGGTTTTGTGGTCAGTGAGTTTTATAGACAGGTTTTATCAGAGGCATTAAAACAGAAGCATCAACTTCAGATTCCTCTGACAAAAGGCCTCCTTCATCAGATGAGAATGACACATTTAAAAGAAATTCTGCTTTTTTCCAGATTCTTTAGTAAGAATTTATTCATAATTGTTTGGCTCTTTCTTGTTCATATGCCATTTCTAGGTGAAGGAAAACACATTACATGTGTATTACATTTATTTTATGTTGTTTATCATTACATATATTGTGTAACATTAAACGTGTGTATGTGTGTATTCTGTGATGTAAATCATAGATTTCAGAAACAGTAGAAAGTTAAAACCAGCTACACTTGATAAACAACAATATCCTAAAACTATTGACTACAGAGATTCCATATATATATTATGAATAATGATTACGTACTTCAAGGTAATAGTTCATAAGCACAGTTTAACTTACAGTTCTCTGGTAAATAGGTTGTTTCCAAAATGATTAGCTCTATATTTCAGAAAGTTAGAAATATTAGCTAAACTGAAATGGACTGTATTTATATTACTGGAAACTAAGTATTTATTTGGTTAGTGTGTAAACATGGTCAAATAGAAAACAGGCTGTTAATAAGCACTTACATACTTTTACACTTGTACTGCTAAATTCTGACCATCCCAGGAGGTTAACTAACATCCAAATTCCTACAAATTTATTAGATCAGATCAGACTTTATACAGAGCTGTATCATAAACATTTTCTTTAAATTTTATATAATATTTTAGACAATTCTCGTTGCAACCACTGTACTGTACTGTCAACAAGCCAATAAATCCTACCCCACTTTGTTCTTGGAGCCAGGATTACAATAAACTGTAGGAAACATGTCACACACACACACACGATGATGTTGTATGACAGTGTCGCATAAACTAACAGCAGGAGCAATGATTCATTGCTTTATGTCCAGCAGGTATCTACTTCAGTTGGTAACAGGAAAATGTTATAAGTAGAAATTCTTGGTAGAAGTACCTTGGAACTTTGTGGTCAATACTAAAAGGATAGAACAATACTAATTTCTTATTTTTCAACCTTTTTCATTATACTGTGACTTGTCTGAATCAAGTATGCTGCTAGGCTAGAGAAAATAACAGATGAAGAAAATATTTTTTAATCTAACATGAAAATGTCTTTGACCTTGGAGCAGTCAACACTCTCACTTCATATATTCATAGAAAATTTGTTTTGTAAAAATACTTAATTAAAAAATCTGATTTTCTTTCTATGAAAAACTATTAGCTCTCTTGAGTGACCACTGTAGTATGTGACCTTAGCCTGAGGTGATATAAAAAAAAATGTATACAACTATTTATATTTTGTTCACAAGGACAAAACTAAGTGAAGACCACCTAATGATAAGTCTTGAAAAATATACCTGAATAACAATGTCATTTTCAAGTCGTAAAAGAGTAAAAATCAGATCTTTGTTATTTCACACCTTCTGGTGCCTACTAAGATTTTGATTGAAATAATATCGTTACCTTTAAAGCTCCTTTGCTTTTTACTCATTTTGTGTTTTCAATTTGATAATGGCCATGTAAAAATCAATTTATATATATAAGATAGAGTACAATATAATGTGAGAGTCCAGTACTTATTTAGAAGCTATTATTATGTACTGTTATGTCTTTCTGCTATTTCATCTATCTGTATGCAATTTTAACTGTGATTTTAATGATATGAGTCTTAAAGCACTAAATCATTTCCCTTTATGCCCCTATTTTGTAATTTATATTTTTGTTCAGAAAAAAGAGGGATTAGGGGCATAAATTGTGTAAAAGTGATAAAAAAAAATGTTGAGATATAAAATAATGTGTATTTAAATAGTGTATGCTATTGAAAGTGTAATGCATTTTTTTTCCCTGTATGACTGGAATTTTGAGTACAAGTTTCCATTTTTTTTATATACATAAAATTGTTTTGAACGATTTTAGATTTAATGGAGTACTGGCACCGTTTATTATTACTTGTAATTGAGTTTTTATTCAAGCTTGGATGTATAGAAAATAGGCTGGTTTCGTTTATTTTTTGCCATTTTGTTAGATCTACTTTCTTTGTGAATTTCGATAGGAATTTTCTCCTCAAAAATCAAATTAACTTCAAGTCTACTAATCTGGTATATTGGTTCATATATGTCTAATAATTATAGCCACAAATTGTTTGAGCAGTTTATTTATAATGTGTTGATCACTTACTCATCACTTGGACATTATTTATGCTTGGATGATTGGAAGAAATTCCTAAATCTTAGAACTAGGTCAGTTTCAAATTTGGGTATAATTAGACTTGTGAAACTTTAATGTCAAACATCTGGTTATGAAAGTTTACCAGCAAGTAACTTGGATTTTTCAAATGCATAATTATTTAAATTAAAGTTGTTATTCACTGATGTTAATTAAGTAGTGTGAGGTTAGCATTTATTTTGTTCTGAATGGTTATTGTCTTTCTTTCTTTTTTTGATTGTTAACCATGAACATGTGTAACAGTGGACAAATCTGCTTAGTGCCAGTTGCTCTCATAAAAAAACCGTGAATGAGTTGTAATGACTAAATTGCTGTAAAAAATGTATCTTCTTTTCAGATGTTTTTAGTTTTTAATTTTATCAGGTTTAAATTGAGGAATAAATAGTACTTTTGCTGTGTCATTCGACTGCTCCTCATTTTCTTAAATTAAGTATTTACTTCAATCTGACAGTATACATGCCTATAGTTTTACCAACAGTGGGCACCTCAGTGAATGAATCAGAGTTATAACTGCCAATAATCAACATAACCTCCCAGTCATTGCACTGAGTAGAACCTGACTGAATTAGCAACGGAAATACTGTTTTCAAATACGCTCACTGTATGATGTAGTTGCTTTGAAAATTTTTTAAATTCATTCAGCCTCATATCCTGTATACACAGAGGTTGAGTATGTAATATTAAAATATTTTGAATAAGGAAATCAGTAAGTTAGGTGACAACCAAAACCAGTATAAAATTGCAGTGCAATTACATTTATCAGAACAAAACTTTTGTTGTTTTGTAAGTAGTTTGTCACCAAAATTTTATTGCTTTCTGGGAAAGGTATATAACAGCACTATCTGATGCAAAATATTCTTACTTAACTCAGTCTTAAGAGATATGTTTATATATCCCTTGTACTTAATAGCATTGTAAAAAAAAGGAATATGCATCTATTTGGGGAACCAGAACTATCCAGAAAGATGCTTGAAACAAGTTATACCCTATATGTGGAAAGCACAGAAATGTAGTCTGTAACAAGTGAGAATTCTCAAACACAGTTTGATGGCAAAAGCCATTCATGTGGCATAGACAACATAATCAAGAAAAATCTTTATCTGGAAAAGCCACAGAAGTTGCTTCTATGACATATCTGTTAAACTGTTTTATACTTCACACAACTGGAGATTGAAATGGGTAATCATGCTATTCCTTACAAAGATATACTGGTAAAGTTGCCAGACACAGCACTTATGATTTTATTTATGATCAAATTGTTGAAGCAAGCACTGGGAAACCATTTTCTTCATACACTTGGATGATCTATGGAAAACACGAAGGGAGTGGTGTGTGCTCCAGACATGACATCTTCACAACAGAGCTTTTCATTATGGAAACTATAATGCATGGTTGTCAAGATGCAAAGTCATCAAAGAGAACATAATTTTTCATGAGCTGTAATGATGTGGGGAGGCTCCAAAATTATTTTAGAATAATGTACTTAGTCTGAGTGTGCGATACTTAGGTTTTTGTATTTATTATTTTTAATTTTTTAAGCATTTTGATGAATATTGTGGTGTAAGTTCATGTTCTAATCTATTTACTCTTAAATTAAGATTATTCTTTTTTTGTTGCAAATGCATATAGGTATCTAATTCAGACCAGGATAATAATTCTGTGACAGTGTCTAAGTTATCAGAAGCTCAGCAACAAGAGTACAGAAAACTAAAAGCTGAAATTGCCAAGAGAGTTCTAACTTCAAAACAGGATGAAAATATTACCATCTCAACCAGAAATTCCCTTCCAGAATATCATGGACAACAACAGAAGCAGTTAATTGGAAAAGCACATAAGAGGCATGAATTGAATTTAAAATTTCATAAGTAGGTATTTTTTGGATAATACGTAAGCATTGTAAGTTATGTTGTTGATATCAATGAGTTTGTCATTTCAACACTGATATTGTATGTTTTTTCAGTATAAGCTGACTTTACACTTTTTTAGGACGCACAAACATTTGTAAAACATTCCATATACATATGCACAAAACTGATGATGTGATGTATCAGGTAATTGGTTGAGTTATGTATTCAGGGATTTGATGATACTGTGATTAATATGTATAGCTGTAACAAAGAAAGGGGATCTCTAATTTTCAATCTTGGCTGCCCACTTAGCAGAAACAGCCTTTAAATACTGCTTTTTTGACGAGTTGTTGAAAGAGATTTGTTCTCAGTTTATCTGTAGTGACCATTGAATGAGAACACTTCTGCCACTGTCTCATTTGATCAGTTCCATAAACAGTGGTCATATCGCTTGCTGGAAATTACACAAACTGTCATTTCAACTAACAAACAGTTTGAGAGCTGCACATCTCAAATAGAAATGTGTAGGCACAATTTCATTGGTGTTTTGAGTACAAACTGTGGGCAGAATATGATTGTAAATATATGATGTGATCTGAGAAATTACATTTGTACTATTTCTGCATTGACAGTACATCCAGCCTAGTGAGGAAAGTTAGTGTTAAATGAAGACAGGCCTGGAACCTGAATTAAGTGCTAGATTTCTTGTTTTTTATATATATATTTTTTATTTGTTATATATTTTTCAACAAAAGTAACTAAAATGTAAAGAATAAAACCTTCTTCAGTAACAGAACTTAAAATAATAACACATTTCAAATTTCACATGCTCAGTTCATGGGAAAAGCAAGCTCTGGTATACACATGACTGACTGACTTAATTTTTAATAGATTTTAATAGAATGTTAACAATTTTCAAACAATCAACGTTTTTAGTTTACACGTTATATATATAGTTTTCTTGGTTCCGAGCTAAATTAAAATCTTTATTCTGAGATGCTAATATTTCTACACATCTTCATTTTGAAGCAATGTGGCTTAACATGACTGTAGCATAAATCACTCTGATGACCTCTCAATATCTGTTATAGTTTATATATACAGAATGTTAACAATTTTCAAACAATCAACGTTTTTAGTTTACACTAGATCGGAACCAAGAAAACATTTAGGATAGAGGGAAAATCTGCATTACCTATTCCTGCATTCCACCACCTGATGTTTATATGCATCCACCCAGTGAGTGCAATGTATGAGTGTTGAAATGCAGAAATGGGTAAACCAGATTTTCCTTCCATCCCAAATGCTCTCTTGTTTCTGTTCTCTTTTCATCCCTACCTCCCAACAATTTTAAAATTAAATGTTTTGTTACTAATAAATACTTCAATTACTTGCAGCCTGTGCTAGTAGGGGCATGGGTTGTGAGTTTCAGTTTATAGCACGTAATTCATTAAAGCAAGAAGAGTAGACTAAACATTTTCATTTTAGATCTAGATATCTAGCATATAAACATGCAAGTCCTTGGAAACTGAGAAAATATTATAATGCTAGAATGAAATTCTGAAGTGGGCAATTTGGAGCAAAGAAGTCGCAAACTACAATAAAAGTGATGACTGAGAATTTATTTAAATAGTTTCTTTTTAAGTTAAGAAATTAAACATATAATATAAAAATTTGAATTATAAACTAGGTTTTGATGAAAGTTATTTTAGTATAACTGTAAAATGGTTGTGACATGCACACTTCGATGTACCCATATCTAGATCATTAATCACAAGTAGTAATGATGCAATATCAGCTGATCAGTGGCTCAACACTGACTGGACAGAACTAACTGATCAAGAGGTGTACTTTCAAGGGTGACAGTGAAATGATCCACAAGTCAAGCCAGTTACACTGAATAAAGCACAGTCTAGCCTTAAAAAATCATCAAATGGTTTGAACAAAACATCTGCATGAAAATGATAATGTAATATGTTATTTGCTTAAAGCTGATGAGAAGCTTCAAAAGAAATTTTAGTTCGGAAGCAGACTGATTTTTTTCCATCTTTTGAAAGTGATTTGTTGATATTTAACCAGTACTTTGTATTCTGTAAGTAAGTAACTTATATGGACAAAGGGATATTTATGTGAAGATAGTGAAATGGCATTTAGATTATGCAATCTGTATAATTATTTACAATATATAGAATAAAAACTGATTAATTTATTGTACATACAGTTCTTTTTTGTTTACCAGTTGCATGCTCACTGTTACTAGTTTCAACCTTTACATTTTATCAATTGATACTGCATACTATTAAAGTATACATTATATTCAGAATGGCTGATTTGAAAATCCTGATGTTTCAGTAATGTGGATGAATTAGTTTATTACTGATATGTAATATATATGATATGTAATATATATGATATGTCAAATATATATTAACGAGGTTTTACTGTAGTTTACTTATATCCAAAATTGGTTGAGAAAGTATGACTGAGTTCAGTCTTCCTTGGCCAGTACAATCCGTAGATCTCACATTAAGCATAATTAACATTGCCGAAGGTGAGGTTATTGATAAAATGGCTGGTCAACACTTTGAAATTTCAGTTGAGATACAATAAATAATTATTACTCTGTTGTTGCATATTTTGTATTATCATGTTAAGATGTTATGGGATGTTTAGTTTCAAATTTCATATCTGAATTATTTCAAGTAAATGAAAATTTTGAAGATAACATGTAGAAAATAGTTACATTTAATTTGAAAGTTTGGTACTATCATTAAAAGCTTTCTTTGAGTTTTTAAGGTTTTAGTTGTCGTGTGTATTTATTTATGACATTATGTATGTATATAATTCTGGTTAGTTTTATAGAATTAATGTTATTTTTAGTTTTGCTCATTTTTTATCAAAAGGTATTCATAATTAGTTGACAAATATGTATAAATTGTTAGTGTTCTTCCAAAATATGTGATATGTTCTGAAAATGTTATATACACAAATGTCTAATAAACTATTTTATTGTTGTAATTGAAACTAAAGGCTTATCATCCACTTTTGATTGCAATTCATTTCATATATTGCTTTAATAATATAATTAAAATTGTAATAATTTGTTTGTTTTGGCAGGTCTGTATTACAAGCAGAACAGTCAAAACTAATATCACTGAAAAAACGAGCAGAAGAAAAAAAAGCTTCACTTTTGTCTGCCGAAATCCAAGTTAAAAAACTTCAGGAGCGTGTAATAGCAGCACAAAGAGTAGTATCTGCAAATAAACGCCTGGTTGATCGATTAACCTTCCAGGTATTTTTTGAGTTCAGTAAATTTCATCAGATGTTATTATTAATTACATAAGCATTGTGATTTGGTTTGTCTGACTATATATATACACACACACTCTCTATCAATCTTAACCTTTATTTGCCAATCTCACATGAAGAAATTAATAGAAAAATCAAATATAATCATACTACTATAATGGGGATGGAATGCCAACCTCATGAGATAAGTTTATCTTACCCCCAAGTGGTAGTACCTTGTTTTGTTTTTCTTTTTTTTTGCTACTTTGGAGAGCAATCACCTTCCCACAGCTGTCTGCAGGCAGTGAAGGGGGTGATATTTATATATTCATTTTGAAATAAAAAAATCATAAATTACTATATCAGTACCACAGAATTCCACTATAATTAATCAGGCTTAGTAACTAAGCTGTATTTGGGTCTAAAAAATATGATATTTCCAACTCCATATTCTCCTACCTTTCCATTTCACTTCTACCATGAAAAGGAAGGTTTTTCCTGTGTAAAACAAATTTGCAAAGGCTGAGAAGACCATTCTGGGGGACATTCTGAGCTTTCAATTAGTTGTAAGCATGTAAGAGAGCAAGTATTTCCAAAAATAGTAGAGGTAGGCTTGGCCACCTTGGTTGATTCACTAAATTTAATAATATCTCAGAAAATACAAAAGATAGGAGGTTCTTGTTTTATATTCTAGCTTGTCAATATCTATAATTTGAGTTCCTAATTCGTACAAAAGTGTAGACTTTGTATTTGGACATCATAAGCATCTAATGTAAACCAAAGCTGCATTCAGCATACCATGTGACACACATATTTAGGATTATTTTTTCAATATTTACTTTTAAGTTAAGAGGTTAACTTATGTATAATACTAAAATTTTAATTATAATTTACAATTTGATACCAGATTTATTGACATGCATTCATAAAATAGTAGTTAAATAAAATTCTGAATGTTCTACAAACATGATGACATGCCCTTTGACCCCTACTATAGTAATACCTGTCCAGGTAGGGTTAAATAAAATGAAAATGCTTGTTTATTTACTGATATCAAAAAGACAAAATTTAAATTTTTACTTAATTTTTATCTGCTGCTTATCTGGAGTATTTTGTAAATGGAACAAACAACATGGCAGACACATCATTGTTTTGACTCAGGTATTTCTTAGTGAAAGATTATAGCTGATGTTGGCTTACATTACAAAATGATTTTTAGTATGACTCAAAAAGTCAAATCAGTAAAGTTATTTTGCACATTTTTATACTATCTGCAAACATGACAATTTGAATAATTTGGAGCTATATATGATAATGCTATATTGTTCTTCTCTATTAAACAACAGTGCGTTTTATAGCAAAATTTGTATATTGAATAAAAATTGTCATAAATACTAAAACTTTTTGCCAGAAGTTAATGATTCTACATATTTTACCATTAAGATGACTAATATGTCTGTAAGAATAAAACCTAAAGGGGGTATGTAATGTATTCACCATATTTTAATAAGACTCGATATTATAACTGTTGTAAAGCAGGCTTAGGACTAACGTGGATCAATAACAATAGGTAATTATTTTTATAATTTTAATTTCATGTTTTTATTGTTGGTATATACATGTTGTTACACTTCATTTAAAAAACATTCCTGAAAGCTGTTGGATAGAATTGTTATCATGCTGTTCTAAAATATGAGTCTTGTGTATTCTCATTTTAATTATGTTTTTATTAATTATATAACCATACTTATAATAGGAAGACATACATTTAAAGAATTATCTGTTTGATAGCAAATGTAATAATTTTGGTGTTGAATGTAAATAACCTTAAATAATTTGTGACCTTTGTTCTGGAAACAGATTAGCATGGTTGAACGTAAAATACAGAGTGAAGCTACAAAAGTTGAGGAACTGGAAAGGTTTTTTTGCAGTAACAGTGATAAAGATATTCCTGTAACTGTTCATGTTTCTGCTTCACAACCCGTGATGAAAAGAAGAGTAGTTTTTACTGGAAACTTCAATAATACTGTAAGTAAAAATATGACAGTAGTTATTTGTGAAGCTTGAAGGCTGTTAGCCTTTTTGTCCTGTCAACTGTATCAATAAGGCTATTGTTAAGTTGCAACATATACTGGTTTACAGTAACAACGTTTTCTAAGTATAAAATTATTAGTATTAAAGATGTGTTTGAGATCCGGTATAATGTATTTTTTTAGAACAAAATGGTTATGAGAAGATTTACAACGAGAGTCTTAAGTACTTTCCTTAATTTCTGATCTAGATGAACAGAAGAATGAAGTTTAAAAATTAAGCTTGTCCTTCCATATTCTTTCTCTAAAGAATGGACTTGTATTTAAATAGCTGTAGTTTACTAATTACTTCAGGTTATCAAATGTACTAAACATAATATGAAGATCTTGTATGTTTATGGCTTGTTCCAACAACTTGCAATTTTCTGTCTGAGGCACATTTAGTACTCTACTTAGTACTGCATGTTGAAATGTACCTGAAGATTTATTTGTAGAAAACATGATGAAGTATATATGTACATTCTTTTGTAACCACAGAATAGGAATTTTCACATTGTTTACACCAATAAACCTGAAAAAGTAGGAGTTGAAAATTGGGACAAAAAGTTGAGGAAAAATGTAGGAATTATACCAAAACTTGAAAAAAGATATTTTAGAAAATTAACTAATTATTATATTCCTTGAGAACTTAGGTCAGATATTTTTTTTATAAATAAAAATACAATATTTTATTATCTAATATCTAGTTGCATTGTTATTTTTTTGAATTTTTGTTTCTCTAGTACCATAGTCTGAAGTATGTACATTCTGAAGATTTTATCAACCTTAATAATGAAATTGAAAACTAAATATTTTAAAATTAGCTAGAATTATGAAGAAAAGTTGAAACATCAGTGTTTTTGGTATGTGTGTGTGATGGTCTGGAAAATCTGGAATTTTACTTGGAAAGTCAAGAAAAACAGTTTTGTAAAAGGATGTGTCCATCCTGAGTTTGTCAGTTATTATTATAACTAGAATTTGACAGTTACAGTGATGATAGTATTTTGCTAGTGACTTAATGCTTAACTAAAACTAAAGTATAATTTTCTATGTATATTTCTTGAGTTTGTTAGTGCCATTTTTCCATGAAAAGTACTATAGTGGATATAAATGTTTAACATATAATCATAGACATCTGCAATGTTGTAAATTTGGTCTACAAAAGCCTGAAAGATGATGATGTTCCTTTTTGTGCATGTTTAACAAATCATTTAAAGTTAACCACATGTATTTTTGCCTTATGCACGATAGATGTATAAGCTAATTATTAAAATAACAAATCAGTTATTAACTACTTTATGTGACTTTCTGCAAAACTTCAGCAACAATAAAACCATGCTAGTAAGCTTTAGAACATTTGCTAGACTTTTTTTATATTTCTATAGTTTATTGTTGTTGGAAAATAATATAAACATTAGGTGCTTTAAGTGTTTGATTACTTTCATAAAGTCATAGTCTGGTTACATTTTTTAAGAGATTTTCTTAAAATTTTGGGCTTATTTGTATAACATCTTCAAATACTGGCAGATAAAAGGTTTTAGTTGAATTTTTCTTTGAAAAATAAAAGTTTAATATTAAAAACACATGTAAATTAAGTTTTGTGTTATGTTTGTACAGGGAATAAAAAGACCTCGATTAAGTTCTCTGTCTAATCATACTGAAAAGAAGATAAATTCCCAAAGTACCAGACAGATCTATAGTGCTGAAGAATTAGCAGAAAAGAAACGGCAACTTCAGCAGAAGGAAAGAGAGTTAGCTTCACAGCTCATGCAGATGAAATTAAATATTCAAAATAGCTCATCTTCTACACCAAATAGTCCTGCCCGCCTGGGCTCTAAACAAAGAATAGTTGAGGAAAAGAAAAACTCATGCAACAGGAAAGTAATTTCAAATGTTTTGTCCCAACATGTGACAAGTAAAACAAATAGTAACTCTGCTAGTCATAGTAAAGTGAAAATAGATGAAGATGAAAATATTACTCCAGTACAAAATGTTATGGATCAAGACAACAAGTCTTTAGTGTCCTGTGATTCTGTTAACACATCACCATTATTTTCTGAAAATTTGGAGGTAAGTGCATGTGTAATTTAAAAGTCAGTTGTGTGAACATTTATGAAGATAAGTAATATATATATAAAAAATAGCATTTATTTTTTTTTTCATATTAATGGAACAGTTATATTTGAAGCCAGTAAAAAATGAGCCTGCATAAAGTATTTTTCACAGATGAGTACATGGTCATTTTTCCAAATACAGTTAAAGATATTAGATCATTAACTTTTTCCATATGGGGTCAGTGGCTGTGACCAACATTCTAGCTATACAAAGTTACCACCATGAAATTTGGTAAGCTTTCACTAAACATTACAAGTCTTTTGTACACAAAAAATCATATTTTGTAATTAAGTATTTTTACTAAATCTGTCTTTGAATATACAGATTAGGAAATGTTAGAGTCAAAAATTAGGAAGAATGTTTTTTGGAAACTGTTCAAGATGGTTTTCTTCACCAATTGGTCAAGGAACAATGCTGTTTTAGATTTATTATTAACTTCTAATATAGAAATGGTTGAGAGGATGAAAATTGAAGAAAATCTGGGTGCAAGTGATCATTTCTCTGTTAGGTTTGATGTGTTGCTGCATATCAAGATCAAGAATAATGATATTTTGGTTACAAATTTTGAAGGGATGCAACAAGAATTATCTGTTGTGAATTGGGCACAGATAAACATGTTCCTCATAGAAAGAAAACGGTGACTGCAAGTAAAAAACCAGGTTGGCTCATAAAGGGTATAAGGAATAAAATTAAAGAAAAACATCACAAAGTTAAGGAAGTTAAATTGACTGTTATGATGGAAGATTTAGAAGATTACAGAACATCAAGAAAGTTGGTGAAACAGGAAATTAGAACATAAAAAAGGATGTATGAAAAAAGGTTGGCTGGAAATGTAAAAATTAACAGTAAGGATTTCTTTAAATATGTTAAGGGTAAACAAAATGTTAGGATAGAAGTAAAGCATTTGAGGGATGATAGAGGAAGGCTTGTATCTGAAGATTGAGCTAGCTGGGTTATTAAATTCTGCTTTTTCTTTAGTTTTTACGAAGGAAGATTTAAGCAATATTCCTTATCCTGAACAGTTGATAGATGGAAACAAGATGATCACATTAATTCTGAGCTTGTTAAGAGAAAATGATATACTTCCTGGGCCAGATATTTTCACAAGGGTTTTGAAGGAGGTTAAGGATTGGATATGGGAGCCACTTGCTACTATTTTTTGTAAGTATTTGAATAATGGGCAGGTGCAAGTGGATAGGAAGTTAACTAATGTCACTCCTCTTTTCAAGGGAAGATATAAAAATTGTCCTAGTAATTGTCTTAAATTAGTTGTGGGAAAAGTTTTGGAAAGTATAATAAGAGATGCTTTGCAAAGTCATTTAAAAAAGTTTGTAATTCAATATGGTTTCACTAAGGAAAGATCTTGCCTTATAAATCTTTTGACATTCTTTAAAAATTTACTGCTTATGTAGATGAGGGTAAAGGGTGTAGATTTGGTGTATGTGGATTTTAAGAGAGCATTTGACAAGGTGCCACATAAAAGGCTTGTAAAAAAAATATATATATCTCTATAGATGTGGAGGATAAGTTGGCTAATTGGATAGAAAAGTGGCTGGATGGAAGAAAGCAGAGAGTGGTTATAAATGGAGTTCAGTTAAAGTGGGATACCTCAGGACTCAGTCTTAGGATCTTTGCTCTTTTACTTAAATTTGTTGATGGCTGTGAGGAGGATGCTACTTTACAAATGGATTTAGATCATTTATTGAGTAGGGCAAATAAATAGCAGAAGGGTTTTAATTATAATAAATGCAAGTTAATGCATGTGGGTTATCATAATTTGAATTATAAGTATACTTTGGATTAGAATAACCTTAACAGTGTTTTGAAAGAAAAGACTCTTGGTTTAGTGGTTGATCAGTCTTTACACCATCCAAACAGTGTGTTCTTGTTTGTGGTAGGACAAATGGGATTTTAGGTCATATCTACAGAAATAGTGAATGCAAGTCTAAAGAGATAATAATTTCATTGTGTTCAGTCTTGAGCTCCTTACTTTATGAAAAACATTGAATTGTTGGAAAGGGTTCAGAGGAGGGATACTAGGATGGTACCTGGAATGAAAAGGTTGTTATACCATGATAGGTTAAGATCTCTGAAATCATTTTCGTTTGAAAAAGGAAGAGTTGAGTTGTTTAAGACTGTAAAGGGCATTGATACATCATCTTTTTTCATACTTAATGGTGAGAATGGAAGGACTAAGGACCACAGATATAAATTTTGGCAGGATAGAACACATTTTCTGTTAAGACAGTTTTTTGTTTTTTAACAGAGTAGTTGGCCATGGGAATGGATTGCTTTTGGATGTGGTGGAGGCAGTAAATTTAAATAAGTTTAAGGAAAGGCTTGATAACTATATGAATGATAAGGGCTGGCTTTGAGTTTTTTTATTATTAATATTAATAGTTTTAGTTAGTTTAATAGATGGGACAGCCTAGATGGACAAATAGGTCCCTTGTTGACCCTAAATATTATGTTATATGAAGTCAGAGTGTTGACTAATCTGAGTGCAAATTGATTTTCGTCTTGAGATAAAAATACTTTTCTTCATCTGAAAATTTTTAAATTTAATTTGCATAACCTCTAAAACCTCCTAAATAAATATCAAATATATATTTTTCAATGAAATTATATTTTATCTGTTGTTTTCTCTACACTAACTCTATAGAGACTCAGTTGATTTGAATGACCTGGAAAACACCATAAAAAAAATTATTCAAATTAATCTAAATTACCATGCTTTCTAGAATGACTAGAGATTATAAAAGGAAACTGCAATTGCTTATCTTAAATAGCTTAAGACTAATAACAGTCTACATCTGTTTATGCTTGATTTTATTATATTATGTTGTCAAGAAACTAATGCTGCATTTTGGACCTCCCCCCCCCCTCCAAAAAAAAAAAAGTACATCATGTATAATAGTTAAATGAACTGCCTAAACGTCACGTTAGTGTAGCCTATATAATGGTTAAAGTTTAGTATACTCTAATCCCTTATAGTGATGGCACACAAAGAGACACATTTGGCATGTAATGCTGTTTGAATACAAGAAGAGAAACAACGTCTCTGTAGTCACAAAGAATATCAAAGAAGTTTATGGAAATGTTTTGAACGTTCG